ACACAAATATATGAAAGCCAAATTTGCATTGTTAAATTTTGCTTTCAAATTCATATTTATAATATTTTGACTGTGCAGAGAATCTATTTCAGGCCATGCCTTTAAAGGTATTAATAGTTTTACATTTACTTGGACACTTTTTATTAGTGTCTGACTTAACTTTAATTCCAGTTCTGTTTTCCCCAATTGAATAGTTAATTTCCTTTTATTCCCAAGAAATTGTGATTTAGCCTTTGGCTAGAATTTATCTGTAGTCAAGAGAAAATACTAAATCTTATCCAGTTAACTTATATTGTGTAATTTGTGCTAAGATGGGTGACTAGAAAATACCAGTTAAAGTGGCACAGTTTTGAGAATAACAAACAAACAAAAAATTCCTTCAACAAATTTTGGAATATTGAAGTCTTCTCAGCCCATGGTGCTGGCTATAGTGGGACAGTGGCAGACGCTGTCAGGACATCTGGGAATTTGGAAGGTGGGTGAGATGTTCCTGACCTCACTAATGTGTGTGTGTGTGTGTGTGTGTGTGTGTGTGTGTGTGTGTGTGTGCGCGCGCGCGCGCGCGCTGCTAAGAGCAACAGAGGTGTTGCCATTGGGCTTTATTCCCACTGTTGTCATTAAAAAAATATTCATTGAGCACTTCTTTGCATAAGATACATTTATGGCACAACACTTATTTGATGGTTGGTTGTATCGAATGTATCTGATTTCTAAAGGGGAGATAGGTCCGACGCCCTTTCCCCATTTGTTTCAATGGTAGTGGAAACTGGGTTATAATGTGTTTCGAGCAATATTAAGGCTTATGGTTTTTGTTGCTAAGAAAGTAACAGATAAGCAGTATTGTCCTCTGACATGTAAATGTTTAGAGCAAACCCAGCTTATGCGTGAAGCAGCCAGAAGAGTCTTGCCAAGATTTGCTCACCATGCGGGATTAAGTATTTATAAAAATATGTGCAGCTTGGCAGTGTCTGTCCCTCAGATGGGACAGGAGTGCAGTTGCTCTGTTGTGAGTGACGGACGTAAACAGACACAATGTATGCTTTGGAAAAGGGAACTTTATGATGAATATTAGGAAAAAGCTCACTAGAGAAATCCAGGGAGTGGTGCGATTGATTGTTTAGGTTTCTCTTGGAGGTGTTATTATTTCCTTGAAACTTCAGCCGGAGCTGTTTTTTAAATTGTTAACTTTGGGTAGATAGCTAAAATTGTTTATTTTCAAAGAAGTTTTTAAGTACCTTTCACTTCAGTACTGCCTACTGTTGTTACTGTCCTTTCATTATATGGAACAAGCCAGATTTATTCATTCATTCTCACTCTCCCTCTGCCCCCATTCTTTCATTCCTATTTCCATTCATTTTTATAAAGTCTTCTATTGATTATCATTATAACTTGAAATGATACCCTTGCATATCTATCTCTTGATTTAGCAGCTCTAAATAATATCTACTATATGATCCACGTTATAAACAGTGAGGGAATTAAATGCTGCTTTCATTTTCCCCCTTATCCGCCCCACTCTGTGTACAAATGACTGCTTACTAGATTGTAGGTTTTACGTTGTTATAATTGTAACAGTTGTATTCTACTCTAAAATATAATGACATATCTTATAGGTTGATAACATTTAAAAATACATTTTCAGAGCTCTAGAATATGCTGATGGGTAAGTTTTTTTTTTTTTTTAATAGTATAAACATTAGAGACAGGATATAGTGCTGTGATATGGCACCTTTTCTAAGGAAGAGAATTTCACAGTCATTAATGTCTAACAGGTCTTTCCTTTGTTTCTAGCTTTGTTCTCTGCTTCATATTCACACCCAGTTGCCACAGTTTCTTGTATTCATGTCGAGTGGACATTTTTCTTGGATTCCTTTCTTGTTTTGGGAGGGAGTAATTTTCATAGGGTTTCAGAGAAAAAGTTCTGAGCCTTACATATTCTGAAATATTTTTATTTGGGAATGACATTTGATTTTTTTTTAAAAAGAATATGTATTTTTATGGATTTCAGAGAGGAAAGGAAAGGGAGAGAGAAACATCAACGATGAGAGAGAATTGTTGATCCACTGCCTCCTGCATGCCCCACACTGGGGGTCAAGCCTGCAACCTGGGCATGTGCCTGACCCAGAATCAAATGGTGACATCCTGGTTCATAGATAGACACTCAACTGAGCCAAACTGGCCCAGCTGACTTTTTGTTCAGATGGGCATAAACTTTTAGTTTCAAAATCTCTGTCCATCTGGTCTTTAAATCCATTATGGTACTACTTCTAGCATTTAATATTTACTGATTGTAGGAAGTCTGGTGAGAGTCTGATTTTCTATAGGAGTCCCGCCTCCTCCCCTCTGTTCCCCAGAAATTCTTGCAGTTTTCTCCTTGCTGTTGGCATTTATATCAGTTTGGTAGGGCTGTCATAACAAATCACATAACCAGATGGATTATAACAACAGAAATGTATTTATTTATTATTTATTAAAAAATATGGAACGCTTCAGGAATTTGCATGTCATCCTTGTGCAGGGGCCATGCTAATCTTCTCTGTATCATTCCAGTTTTAGTATACGGGCTGCCGAAGCGAGCACTAACAGAAATTTACTAGAACAATGCTCTTTCGAAAGACTCGAGGGTTGAATCTGTTCCAGACTTCCTCTTAGTTTCTGGTGTTGATTGGCATTGCTTGGCTTGCAGCTGCGCACATCCAGTCTTTGACTCCATCTTCACATTGTGCTTCTCCCTGAGTGAAGTCAGGAGCTGTGGGGCTGCTAAGATGCTGAGGCTCTCGTCTGTCAGTGCCCCCTGTCCATTCAGCACCACTGCAGACAGTGACTGGCTCAGCTGCTGAGAGGTGCTCCTGACCAAGGAGGGGGCTGGAGATAAACTTGGGGATGACGGGCTGTGGTGGGAGGGCAGCTCCCAGTGCAGAGAAGAGAGGAATTGAAGGTTGATTTCTCTCCCAGCAGTCTCATGTACTCGTAGATGACAGGCTGACCCAGAGTTTGGGTTGAGGGGCTGTGTAAATGATATGCAGGATTCGAGTGTGTGTGTGTGTGTGTGTGTGTGTGTGTGTGTGTGTGTGTGTGTGTGTGTGTGTGTGTAGTCGGCTCATCTTTTGCTGGAGCTGTCTCTTCTCTTTCCCCAATTCTGCATTGTATTGAGGAAGATCTCTGAATTTCCTTCAAACTTTATTCCACTTCTCTGTCAGGTTCTAACACCTGAATTTGGCATTTTCTCCAGGCAGGTATCCCGCTTTCTGGAGAGAACATTTCTACATTTCCTAACCTGATTCTCTGAGTAGATCCTGCTGCTGCCAGCTCCTCTGTTTATGCTCATCTGAGAGAGGAGGGTCTTAATTCCCCAGCTATTCAGATGTTCTTACTGAGTGGGTTCGCCCAATGACTGCCCCAGACCCTGTACCACTCTTAGTGTTGATTGACTGTACACCTAGGGAGGCCTGTTCTAACTTGAATCTCTTGTAAAACAGTTTCACCTCTATCTTCTCTGGGGGACTAATCCCATCCTCACTCCTCAGAATTGGCTCCACGTTTCTGTTTACCTCATGACAAGCATTCTCATTTTTTAATGTTGTTGTATAAGTCTGATAAAATGTGACTTTCAGTTGATTTGGGGAAGAAGGACATATACTGTGTGCCATTTTCTTTTTAAAAAAAAACATATTTTATTAATTTTTTACAGAGAGGAAGGGAGAGAGATAGAAAGCTAGAAACATTGATGAGAGAGAAACATCGGGAAGGGGCCCGCACCTAACGTACATGCCCCTGACCGGAATTGAACCTGGGACCTTTCAGTCCACAGACCGATGCTCTACCACTGAGCCAAACCGGTTTCGGCCTGTGTGCCATTTTCCAATGCAGGTTTCATACATCTTCCATTAAAAATTTTTTTTTCCCCCCGAAACCGGTTTGGCTCAGTGGTAGAGTGTTGGTCTGCGGACTGAAAGGTCCCAGGTTCGATTCTGGTCAAGGGCATGTATATTGGTTGCAGGCACATCCCTGGTAGGGGGTGTGCAAAAGGCGGCTGGTAAACCGAAGGACTTGTATATATGCATATAAGTACAACCAATGGGCACAAAACTGTGGGGAGGGAGGGTATGAATGGGGGGGGCAATGTTAAAATATGTACACAGATAATAATTTAATAAAAAAATAAATAAATTAATAAAAAAGAAAAAAAAAAGGCAGCTGGTCGATATTTCTCTCTCATTGGCGTTTCTAACTCTCCCTCTCTGTAAAAAAATCAATAAGATATATTAAAAAAAAACACGCACACAAAACTTTTTTTTTTCCTAGGGTATTTTGCAACTTCACATTTTGTGTGTGTGTACGTGTGTGCGCACACACACACACACACACACACACTAATTACTGAATGGGCCAGCAGGATTTTCTTATGTTTTTTTATTTTCCTTGGCAACTGGAAATGTGCCAAAGTACAAATGTGCATGTTTGTCATGCAGGGTGTTTCTATAGTGATGCTGTAGGAAGCACATTTTGAACATTAAGCATAAGAAATCAAGTAAGTTCTTGAATATTTAATGAGCCAACTTTAATAGCTGGCCTTAAAAATTGACATACTTTTATGTTAAAAGCTTTTGAAGTTATATAAAATAACTTAATAGCAGAGTTTAAAGATTTGATGCTTTTTCTATTTAATTAACATATAACATTGTATTAAGGTGTACAGTGTAATGATTTACAATAAGTATATTGAAAAATAATTACCATTATAGATTTAGTTGACATATGTCACCTCACATAGTTACAGGTTTTTTTTTTGAATACTTTTAAGATCTACTCTTTAGCTACTTGCAAATATATAGTACAATATTGTTAAGTATAGTCGCCTTCTGTCCATTATATCCCAAATCTCATGTATCTTATGTTTTATTTTTTTATTTGTTCTTTGTTTATACAATTATTTTGATAATGTGTAGAAAGCTTTAGTCAAATTAAGAGGGAAATATTTTAAAATCTTTCTTTTTCAGCAAAGAATCGTGGAATTGCTATTCCAGTGGATCTGGATAGTCAAGTTAATACTCTTTTCATGAAGAACCATTCAAATATGGTGCAGAGAGCAGCCATGGGCTGGAGACTGTCAGCTCGCTCCGGACCCCGCTTTAAGGAAGCTCTTGGAGGACCTGCTTGGGACTATAGAAATATTATTGAAAAGTTACAGGTACAATGCGAGCATGAAATGGCATTAATATTTTCTAAATTACATCATTAACATATGTAGTTACACAAGTAAAATATGTTTGAATATATTCCAATTCTAGTTGGGGACCAGGCTTTACTTTATAGCTTCCCACCGGTGATATTGGATTAGAGCCTGCACATATGAATTCATTTTACCTTAATTACTTCTGTAAAGGTCCTCTCTCCAATTGCAGTCACATTATGAAGTACAGTGGTTTAAGACGTGAACCTGGATATAGGAGTTTTGCAGGAGACACAATTCAAACCATAACAGACATCTTCCTACCCATATAATTGTAGAGAATTTCATTGGAGCAAATGAGGGTATTGTGTTAAAGAAATGGTCAAGACATGAACTGGAATAAATATTATGAGAGGTTACATGTAGATTAATGGGTGAAGTTTCAGAGTTTTAATAGATAAGCATTATATGTGATTAAAAAGATAAGTTAGTTTCAGTATGATGAACTTGAAGGCTATTCAGGTCATTAAAGGTCATTTCAATTTTTTTGGGGAGGAAATGTCATTATACATAATTAAGCAGTTACTGGTTTGCAGGATAGGATTAACAGGAAGAGACTAGAGGAAGTCAGATTAGTTAAGAATTACTTAAGATCCCAGCCAGATGGTTGTATGAATGCAATGAATAAGCAGGTGTTGCATACAACAATGAAGGCCGGGTCAACAGATTGGTGGCTGTTGGATGGGAATAGAGGGTGTGAGAGAAATTTGAGAGGTGCTGATGATTGGAGACTAGGTGATATTATTAAGACTCTTTCTTGTAAGAGGGAAGGGATTATATTCTATACATTTTTTTCAAACAATGTAACAAGGAATTTTCCCATTGGAAGAAATGGTCATTTCTAGATGACCAATGATACATAGAAAACTTTTTTTTTGGTAGTTCTTGCACAGATATGTTCCAATTCCAATTTAATGAATACCTGTTTTGTGTCTATTACAACCCTAGACACTTCAAGGGCTGTACCAGTGGTTTTATTGGCTTTTCATCTTGTGTGTATATCCTTAGAAATCATATAAGCTACCATCCTCTCCCTTATCTTATAAATGACAGCAGAGACCCAAGCAGCACTTACACAGAAAACCAGACTGTACTGAAAGAACAGATATTGGGTACCATGGGAAGGTGGGGTATATCTGTGAAATTCCCACATCTCATTCCCGGTTAGTATTCCTCAGCTTGTCGTGTCTTCAAAGGATGAAGTCTGACTTGGGTCTTCATACAGGTTCTCCTGTGCTTTCTTCCTTAGGATGTCGTGGCCTCCTTGGAGCAACAGTTCAGCCCAATGATGCAGGCGGAATTCTCAGTGCTGGTGGATGTTTTGTACAGTCCGGAGCTGCTGTTCCCCGAGGGGAGTGATGCAAGGATCCGATGCGGTGCTTTCATGTCCAAGTAAGTGCAACCAAACCGAGATGGCCTGTAACATTTCTGCTTTTTACGCTGCTGCCACATAGGGACAGTCCATAAAGTATTGTCAAAGGTCTAAAAATCCATGTTAAAATATACTTCTAAAGTAATTTGATGTCATTGAACTTTTATGCTGGTGAAAGTCATATTTTACTAAAATTTACTGCAAGTGGAATGTGTCATTATTGGCACACAATATCACATCAAATAATATTTTAGTTCTGATTCCTTTCTACACCTACAGGGAGTGACCCTTAAAAAGATTCCTGTCTAAAGTCACCAATTTTCACTCACATAGAAAGCAAATGGAGCTAACATTTATTGAGATCTCACTATGTGCATGATGGTCCTCTGTGGGTTTACCTATTTTATCTGATCTGCATAAACACTCTGAGAGGTCAGCCTCATTTTAGAGATGAGGAAGCTGAGGGTCGTGTATGCATTAGGTAAAGAGCAATTATGTCTCAGACTCAGAACTCTGCTATGGAGGCAGATGATCCTCCTCTGCAGATCTTTCATTTACTTATTTTTCACAGCATTTTTGTGGCATTGTCAGAGCTGTTATAGCTAATATATTTATCCTAGAATATTTTCATGTGAATGGTAAGTGAAAATTTTCAAGGAAGATCTGCAAGTATTAAGCAGTTGTGAGAAAAAGTAGCATAAACCTCAGAATGAAGAGAAATGTCTTAACATGGAGGACACTTCATTGAGTGATTTGCAAGCAAATCACATGTAGACTCAAGACCGCCAGGCAGAGCGACTTGGACTTCTTGGGAGAGTATCTGGATGGGGAGTTGGTTGAGGCTGCCAGTCCCCTTGACCATCACCCATCACAGCCAACTCCTGTGTGGTTGAGGATATGGAGATATTGCTGGGAATGAGGATATTACATCCTTGGACCTTATTTTATAATTAGAAGTTTGTACCTCTCAACTCTTTTTACCTTTTCACCTTTCCCCCTTCTGCCCTCCCATCTGGCAATCATCAGTTTATTCTTTGTATCTATAAGTCTGTTTTGTTTTGTTCATTTTTCTGTTTGTTTTTAGATTCCAATTGTAAGTGAAAGCATATGGTATTTGTCTTCTTCTGTCTGACTCATTTCACTTAGCATAATATCCACTAGATCCATCTATGTTGTTGCAAATGGCAATATTTCACTTTTTATGGCCGAGTAACAGTACACACACACACACACACACACACACACACACACACACACACACACACACAAATAATGGAATATATCTTCCGCATCTTTATCATTCATCTATCAGTGCACCCCTAGGTTACTTGCATATCTTGGCTATTGTATTTAATACTGCAATGGACATATAGGGATGCACATATATTTTTTTCAAATTAGTGTTTCCATTTTCTTCTGATAAATTCCCAGGAGTTATTAAGCTGGGTCATAAGGTAGTTCTAATTTTAATTTTTTTGAGGGATCTACTTTCTGTTTTTCATATTGGCTGCACCAATTTTTAATTCTACCAACATTGTATGAGGGTTCCCTTTTCTCCATATTCTCAACACTTGTAATTATCTTTTTGGAAATAGATATTTTGACACATGTAAGGTGATATCTCAGAGTGGTTTTGATTTGCATTTCCATAATAATTACTGAATAACTTTTCTTGTGCCTTTTGGCCATCCATTTGTCTTATTTGGAGAAAGGTCGACTTCCCATATTTTAAACAGATTATGTGGTTTTTTTTGTATTGTATGAATGCTATACATTTTAGATATTAACCCCTTGTCAGATATATTGTTTGAAAATATCTTCTCCCATTCAGAAGGTTTCCCTTTCATTTTGATGGTTTCCTTTGCTGTTAAGACTTGGCTACTTTATTTCCATATCTCCTCTTGTATTCTTACCCCATCACATGCCCTATTCATCTCTTGCTTTGTTCTCATTCTTCCATATCATCTTTCCCACTGCCATTGATGGATTTTTTCCCCCACATGTAGGCAGGGTTATTCAGGTGCTTTAAAACAATGATAACCTATTTTATATAGAGTAAATTCCAGACTCTTCAGCATGATATTCCCAGTTCCTTCTTTCCAGACCATATCGTTTACACTCTCCTCTTCCATGACTTTCAGTGTCAGCTGCCAGTGAGAGAACTATCATTTCCTGGACGTGAGGGTCAGCTTTCTGGCTCCACCTGTTTGTCCCTACTGTTCCTTTGCAGGGATGCCTTCTACCTCTCCACTGTCCCCTGCCAGGTGAAATCTTCATAGTTAAATGTCATCCTGTCATTGACACCATCTCTGTTAGCCCTAGGCAACTCCCCCAACAGAAGGTGACAGCTTCTTTGTCTAGTTTATGGCATTGCCACTACAGCTGCTATAGTCCTTATCATGTCGTGTAAGAGGTGGCTGTGTGCAGCCTTGTTTTGCTGGCACTCTCTTCACAGTACCTCTGAGACTCAAGAGAACAGTGAACAGAGTCATGTCACCACAGAGTGGGGCTTAAGATTGGCTCTGAAGTCATATGGACCTGAGATTATTTCCAGATGCCACTCCTTAAGAATTATGTAATGAGAGGCCAGTTGCTTTATCTCTCTAGACCTGAGTTTTCTCATTAGTAAAATTAGATTGGCATTCACTTGTTATAAGGATGAGTTAAGAGAGTCCATGAGAAGTCCTTGTCCATCACACTGACACCTGATAAGCCACTTACTGGCCATTATCTAGTGAAATGTCACTGTCCCATAGCACTCTGTTATGTCACTAGAATCACCACATCATTCCCTTATAACCTACATCGTTTTGTTTCTCCAGGAAGACACGTCTCATATGGTCATCTTACAAATCAGCTTAGTTAAGAACCATATATGCTAAGCTAGAAATTCTAATGATGAACATTTCATTTGATTTTGAGTTCTTGGGGATGCTATGTAACTGTGATCCTCAAACTTTTCTCTTGACAGAACACCAGTGCAAAAGTTACCACTATAATATTAATCAGAATTTTTGTTCAGATTACAGTAAACGAACAGATGTCTTAATGTTACCCTTTTGTTTTTATTTTTCTTCTAATCACAAAAACTGCTTGCTTTTACCAAGCTATAATGGTGAAAAATAGCATATTATTATTAATGAAAACTAGAAAGCAGCCCATGATAAATAAGGTTGCAATGTTGTATACTGCTAGTACTGTATAATCAATGTAATATGGTATATAGAAAATAATATAGCATAACATTACATAAAAATGTAATATACTACAAATATTCATATTTCTCCCAGTAAAGTTGTTTCAGTTCATATGATGATATTAAAGATAATTAGCGTTTCATTGTTTTTCAGAGTATTGTGTCCCATTAACAATATACTATCTGAATAAATTTAGAAGCACTGAGATATACTGCCTGTTACACAATGGAAGCTTTATAATGCAGTCTATAGCTTCAATGTAATTCTTTAAAAATTTTGAAAACAGGCATCTATCTTGTTTACTTCATAATCTTAAATAATAGTGTGATTTATTTCCCTCTAGCATGTGATAATATACAGCTTGAAGAGAAATCACTGTCCTATTTAAGGTTTAATGTTTTGCTTTAAGGTTGATCAATCATACAAAGAAACTAATGGAGAAAGAAGAAAAACTGTGCATTAAAATTCTCCAGACTTTACGAGAAATGCTGGAGAAGAAAGACATCTTTGTGGAAGAGGTATTTCTAAAAACTCTTTAGTACTTGAAAATAGAGTAGAATTTCTAGAATACTGTCACCAATGAATTACAAAAGGTTATTTGTAATTACTTACGTTACATATTAATGGCCTGTGCTCTTAGATGAATTAGATAATTTAAGTTTTTATGGTATTCATCTCTCCTGTCTGCTTTCACTTGAGAAATGTTTAAGATTACAATGGCTCAGGTATTTGGCTTACTTGATTTTATGATGTTTTATCTTAAATATGTATATTTTTTTTATATAGCTTCAGTGGACCAAATGATGTTTTTTTTTTTGTTTTTTTTTTAACAATGAGTAACTGAGGTGTATTATTAAGATTTTGTATAAAATTCTGTTTCGCATTGCAATATTCTGTGTATTTTGACACATGTTGATTTTTATTGTAAATATATGTTCATGTCATTTTCTATAATATTTTACCAATTATTATTAATATGAAGTAATACTTTTAAAATATAAATGGGATAGTAAGTTTCTATTTTAACTATGTTAATTTAATTATTGCACAAATGTTTTTTGGGGAATGCCAACTTATCTATAATAATAAAAGGGTAATATGATAATTAGACCGGTTGTCCTTCCGGACGACCTTCCAGATGAAGCCGGGGCTGTGAGGGAAACCTGGGTCCCAGGTGCCAGAGGGAAGCTGGTGCCAGCAGCCGGGGGGAAGAAGACCTACTCTTGTATAAATTTCATGCATCAGGCCTCTAGTAGGTAATAATTGTCAGTCTGTTATTAAAAACGACAGCTCAGGTACTCATTAAGAGATAGCTAGCAGCATGTTTAATATCCAAGTTGTATACTTACGTATAAAATATAAATCTAGTGCAGTTATTTTTTTAGATAGCTACTTTTTACTTTTATATTTGGTTTCGAACAAAGTTTTTATAATACTCTTCATAACGTTTTGATTAGTTCCTATAAATACTAATCATCTGATATGTTTAAAATTGGAAGAATTTTATTTGATTTATTTGTGTATATGATATCAAGTTCCAAAAAGATTGTAGTTGTAGGTTTATCTCCTTTTTAAAAATGTCTCATAGAAAAAAAATTCAATGTAATCTTGAATATTAATAGAAGCTGCATAACTTCAAAATATTCTATTTGAATCACATGCTTGACTCAGTAATCAGAATGACTTGCTTTACAGTAGTTCTCTTCATAATTTAAACGGTAAAAATTATCAAAATAAAGACAGAGCAATTTTAACAAATGTTTCTGTGACATAGGATTCAGGGAAAAATGTATAAGTTTGCATATGTGGTATGCTTTTTGTTGTTGTTGTTTTGATTTCTTAAAATATATCTGTAAATTGTTTCTTTTTGACTGAAGTGCTAGATCCTAAAATAGAAAAATGGGTTCAATATAAGTTTTTGATGGAAGTGTGAGGTTTATGATAACAGTTTAACTTGTGCTTAACAGGAGATAAATGACAAGCCTTCCAATTTTCTGTAACAGATTATTATTGAATTACTCTAAAGAAAAATAGGAAAGAAAACAAGACTTTACTTTGACTAGTCAAGAATATTTTAGTGTATTTCCTAAACCACCCTAAATACATTATGCTGGCATCTGCTTTCTTTCCTGTTCCCACTGCTTTCACTAGTTTAAGATTTCATTATCTTTGTCTAGAAAACTCCAGTAGTCCATTCAGTTCCCTGAAGTCCATTCAGTGCCTCTTTGAAGGGAGGCAGAGCTGTTGTTCTCATAAATCCATTTGCATAAAATACAATGTGAATGTCAGGACATAGCCCTCAGAGAAAGTTAAGATGAGAAAGGCTAGTTGGGATTATTCACTTAGTCATCTAACACATATATTGTGAGCAACTAGTATTGGTTATTGTGCCTGGGCACTGGGAATAAAGCCATGCATGACCCAGCAAGCTGAGGACCATCACGTGGTGCAATTCACATGCCAGTGGACTACTGTAATAGTCTGCTGAGATCACGAGAGCATTTCAAAAACCCTCAGGGACTCTGCAATGTCCTTGGTGTTCCCAGCCCTGCATTATGTCTGTCTCCTGCGTTCTCCCCTGTCTCCCCCACCCTTCCTCATCCATTAGCTGCCAAGAATCTGGCTTTTCCTGCACTGAACGGTGCTACATCTGGAATCATGGATTGCTAAAATCCATACAACCCTATATCCTCCTCGTGTTGTCTTTGTAGAATAGCTAAGGGGTAGTACTTGTCAACTATTTCAGTCAGTGGTGATTACTTTCTCATTAGAAAGTCTCAGGAGATTTGTGCCTCTCTTTAATGACTCTTCAGGCTGTGTCTGGGTGTTTATTCCAAGCTCCTTGTTTTATAAATGATGTCATTCAGACTCAGAGAAGTTAAGTGGCTTGTCCATGGTCACACAGTGAGTACCAGAACAGGGTTTAACCAAAACTCCTTCCTCTAAGCCTAATCTTATTTATTAGAGGACAGCCAACTTTTACAATCTTAAGAAAGATTAGCATATTTTGTCCAGCAGGTTCTGGGATCCAATGTTTAAGTCATGGACAGAGAGAATACAAGACAGGATGTAACATTCCAAATGGATAAAGGTTTTAAAAAAGTCTAAGAAAATATTTAAGAATATGGAAATGCAGTCATTTAACTAAGAAAAGAAGAACGTGAAAGGGACTTATAAGTATTACTTCTTAATTTCTATGTCTACTAAGGGTAAAGTAAGAAAAAAATATATTTAGGTGAAAGAATTCTAGAGTTTAGAAAACTTTAATTCTAAGTGTTTTGGAAGGAGAAGCATTTCTACCCATGGAAGTAGAAGACTTTTCTTTCCCCAGAAAGTATTAAAGGAACATATATTAGATCTAGAATGATTCTAACATCTACTCTGGGACGGAGTCAGGACAGGGTGACCTCCACGTGTTGGCCGTTGTCCCTTCTTAAGTAGTTGGTGCTCAATTGTCCGTGACAGTGGAGGGGAGCTGTTAAATGACTCACCAGTCTGGGTGACATGGCACTGGGGAACAGATTCAAAACTGGTCAGACCCATTATTTTACAACCCTTGTGCTCTCAGAAAAAAAACCCTGATTATCAGTAGTGGATAACTGGCTATGTTTTCATGATTGTATTAGTTTCCTATTTACCAAAAACTTTGTGGTTTTAAACCACACAAATCTATTATTATTTCAGAGGTCAAAAAATTAAAATCAAGTTTTTGGCACTGGTGTATTCATTATGGAGACTTGAGAAGAGAATTAATTTCTTTGCCTTTTCTAGCTCCTAGAAGCTGCCTGCATCGCTTGCTTTGTGACTCCACCTGATGGAATAGCATCTTCCAATCTCTCTCTCTCTCTCTCTCTCTCTCTCTCTCTCTCCCTCTCTCTCTCTGTCTCTCCCAACCTCCCTCCCTCCCTCTCTCTCTCTCTCTCTCTCTCTCTCTCTCTCTCTCTCTCTCTCTCTTACACACACACACACACACACACACACACACACACACACACGTCACCTCCCCTTTTCATACTCTGACACTTTGCATCCCTCTAACAAGGACACTGTGATTACATTGGACTCACCTAGATATATCTTTGATTAAGATTCTTAACTTAATCACCTGCGAAGTACCTTTTGCCATGTAGAGTAACATAGTACACGTTGTGGTGGTTATGGCATAGATATTTTTAAGAAGGCTATTATTCAATCTATAATTGTGATCCTTTTACTGACAGTAAGAAATGATATGTAGAATATAGAGAGTTTACCTGTGGCTCACTATAATGACTATGTAGGGCAGTTTAAGTGCAAATGAACATCTTAAAATGCTTTAAATTTACATAACTTAGCTGTTTTCAAAGTATTTTAAAATATTTTGCTACATTTCAACACCAATTTCTGGAAGTACATAGAGTAGGCAGTGTTATCTCCACATTTGCAATGTGGGAACATACAGAGAAGTTATTTGCATTAAATCACATAGGTTAACTAATACCTATTGCCTAATACTAATCAACTAGATTTGTACTATCTGTGCATTGGAGTTATTCCCAACAGATCTCTCAGAATTAAAGCAAAACAAAACACTCATACCTTAATACTACATTTAAGACTACCTATTTAAATGATAAATAGCATCTTAAGAGCAAATTTCTATTTTCATTTTTATTTCTTTGGTCTCCAATACCAGAAGTAGATGTGTGTTGTGTATGTGTGTGTGTGTGTGTGTGTGTGTGTGTGTAAGTGCTAAATTTTTTTAAATAGAGCAATGAAGCATAAAAATAGAGTAATGAAGCACAAAGTTGCTTCATGGTTGAACCAGATGCCCTTTAAAGCAATTTCCACTTTTGATAACCCAGTTTTCTGATTCTATTGGCCAAATCATATATAACTACCATTTTATCTGATAGCCAATTATTTTACAAGCATTTATAACTTATAATACCTTTGATTACAGGTCCTAACTTAATTTCACCTTATATTCTTTCTTGTTTCATGTTTTTAAGTTTGTGCCAAAGGTTGAGAGAGAAGTGGGTGGGCAACATCTTTAAGATTATCAGCAGAGTAATAGAAGCAAAGGAAATGCAATTTCCTGTTGTGTGCATCTGCATGGGAAGTCATCTAGTGACCATATATGTACTCTATGTTACAGTAGGCGATAATACTTTTTATTAAAGGACAAAACATGAAAATTGTACATAGAAAGTCTTTAAGAGGGAAAGTTACCCAAGTTTTAGAAAAACCCAGTGTATTACTTATTTAGTCAATTCTGATGGAAAAGCAAGAAATTACAAAGAATGTTGCTAATAACCTTGAGAGGTCAGTATGCCTGTGGGATTGACCATATTCAAAAGGCTTTAAAAAAAAAAAGATAACAACAGCAGGTATGTTTATTTGCACATAAAAATATGTATATTGGGAAATCTGAGGAGGAAAGAGAAAAAAAAGACCCTTTGAAAATGGCTTTAGGGCAGCAGGATTCTTAATGTTTCCAAACCTTAAAGCCATTTTATTCTACTGTTATTTCCAAGAC